CGTCCGCCTCGTCCGCGCCCTCTCCTTCCCCGCGGAGTCGCCGCGGCCGCTTGCTGGGCTCCCTCTTCTCCAGCGCGCGTCCCGCCAGAGGAGCCCAGCGCCGCGCATCCGCCAGCTCTTCGCGTCGCCGTCGGGCTGCGGGGGGCGGCGGCCGCGGCTTCGGGCGGGGCCGCGCGGCCCGCTCTTGGCGCCGGGCCTGGGCGAGGCGCTCCGCTGCCGTCGGCGGTTCCGCCTCCGCCCGCTGCTGTTCCAGCGCCCGCGCTGCTCTCAGGAGGGTTGCTTCCGTGGACTCCGCGTACGCTTGTGCCTCCTGGCATCGCTCGGACGTGTGCTTTTGTTTTTCGGCGAGGACCATCGAGGAGCATCCTTGATCGCTTGGCCAAAAAACCACGCACGAAACCGAAAAAAAACACAGGGAATGGACGTCCGAGCGGTGGCGAGGCCTCCGGTGCCCCGCGGGCGTCCCGCGGCGCGGCGCTGCGCCTGCGCCAGGCGTTCAGCCCTCGTCGGCTCCTCGGCCTGTTTCGCGCGGGGGTCCGCGTTGCGCCGCGGCGGGCTGCGCAAGCGGGTTGGGCTCGATCGGCCTTACAGAGTCAGGAGGTTTCTTTTGCTTGGCATCGCTCGGACGTGTGCGTTTTTCCTTCGGCGAGGACCATCGAGGAGCATCCTTGATCATCTCGCGAAAAAACCACGCACGAAGCCGGAAAAACAAAAACAGGAAATGGACGTCCGAGCGATGGCCAGTTTTGGGTGCCCCAGAGGCAATGCTGTGGTAGGGCGGCGTGGAGTTACGGTAACGCGGGGGTTGTGTCACAGCAGATTGCCTTGATCAGGCGAGTGCAGCAGCACCCCTCAACACTTGAAGCCACACAGGGGGCACAGGAGGAGTCCCGTTAATGTGCGAAGGTCCTTGTCCACTCATTTTCGTCCTGCAGTCCCTGGGCCAACTGCTGGAAGCTGGGCGGGAGGATGATGAGACAGAGAAAGGGGCAGGGGGAGGGCGGGAGGGGGAGGAGCAGGAGGAGGGACCACTTCGAGTGAATTGTTTTCAAGTCATACTGCCAGAGCAGGGTGCAGGGTGTCAAATTAAACGGTCGTTGCGGGGATCTGGACTTCGACCTTGGCGTTTCGGCCGCGCTCACAGGGGTTTGGGGTGGTTGGGCGCGGGAAGTGAGGGCTCGGTGGATACCAGACCTGCTTCTCTGTATCCCACGGCGTTTCCTCCCTTGTCTCTTCCCCCCCTCCTCTTTTGTTCTATCGTCAGCGGTTTGGTTCAAGCAGTTTTGGCCCAACATCCTGCAGTCGTCACGGTTTCCGCCACGTGAGTGTCATGATTTTTGGCTTTCGCTTGTTGCGGGATTGGTGGTTGAGCGGTGTTTCGTGCTCTTGTGCCCTTCCCAGGACATCGCGGAGCTGCTTTTCACGTCTCTCTCTGTTCGAGCCAGGGTGTTGAATTGCACGTATCCTTTTGCATCGTGCTGGGTGTTAACCCGTTCGTCTCGCCCAGCTTCGCCCCATTCGCCTGTTAATGGATGTGGTGTGCGAAGCCTCCCTTTGCCCTCTTGCGTGGCTGAGCGCATGCCCCCGTCATCATATATCGCGTGCTACGGGTGTTCATTTTCACGTTAGTCCCAGTTTGATTTGGGGCGTCTTAGGTAATTTCCGGGTGTTGTTTTTAACGTCTCTCCCAAATCCGTGCGTTGTTCTTTCTTTCGCATGCCTGCGACCTCAGATACATGCCCATCTGTCTCGGCTAGTGGCTTCCTTGGCCCTGCCGTCTCACTTGAGGGCGGCGTTCGACCGACAGGCAACGGATTCGTCCGATCCGGTGTCCTTGCGTGTCGTCTTTCTCTTTTCTTCGGTGTCCTTGCGCGTGCGTTTGCGTTCTTCCCCCCCCTCTTGAGGGGCGGTCTGGCCGACATTGTGCCACTAATGTTACTGTGACGCTCCGGTTTGGCTAAAGTCTCGCGTCGCCTTGGGTGGCGTGATGGTGCCGGCTGGCTAGGTCGAGTTACTGTAACATTGCGGCTGTTGGGCACGCTGCGCCTCCGGAAGTTACAGTAACACGTGTCTGCGCTTCGTTGAGTTATTGTAACAGTTGCGCCCCCGTGGCCTATTGTAACATCAGAGGTTGTGTTTTGTTATGGGCTTTTGCAATGTTACTGTAACTTTGTCGTGTGCCTGCGGGCGCGGATGTCCCGGAGTTACAGTAACCACCTTCTCGTGTTACAATAATTCTTTCCCCCGTTCGCCCGCCCCGCAGCCCTGGTGTTGTAGTAACTCCCCCCTCGTTGTTGCGGCGCGCCGTTCCCCGATTCCCTTTCCCCTGCCCCCCCCCCCAAAGCGGTGCAGTAACTGTCCGCGCGTTGGTACCGCCGTGCGGCCGCCAGAGGCCGCGAACATTGTTGTCGCAACGCTGGTAGCGCGCGTTGGTAGCGCCGCGTTGGCTCCCAGAGGGGGCGGCGAACACAAACATAGCCACACATTCTTGTCGCATTTGTTTATCGGGGCCGCGGTGAAGCGCACGGAATCGGATGTCCCACGAATTCGTGGGGGCCTCCTGGGGCCCCCAGAAGGTCCCCGATACGCATGTGTCTGGGTGTTATTTTTGAGCGCCGACGACACATGTCAGAAAATGCTTGCGCGCCAGAGACCTATCAAATGTTTCGGAATCGGTGCGCCAGAGAGCTGTCAAATGTCGCGGATTCGGTGCGCCAGCGACTTGTCCATTTTTTCTGCGTTTTCAGTGGTTGCCCCTACCAGGATTGCAAAGGGACGCCCGGGCCGTTACGGCTTACAGGAGCACGGGTGCACGCACAGGGCGCAGTTAGGCAACATCCACACATGGCCCCACTACTTGACCCAATCATTCCATTGGCCCATTTTGGTGTTGTGGTAGGTCCAATGGCCCTGTCTGGTCCTCCGGTAATTCCAGTGGCCCCTTAGGTGCTCTGGCAATTTCAGTGGCCCCTCGTGTTCTTCCTGTGCCACCACTGGCCCCTTTTAGCCCCCATTGGCTTGAGGCCGCCCGACCAGCCAGACATCTGCACGTTTCTGTGCCGGGGCTCGTGTCGCAGCATTGCCTTGCAAACGACTGTCCTGCGAACGTGGCCGAAACGCGACTGCCGCCACACAGGGATACCGAAGCATATGCTCTATTTGTCGTATTCGATCCAGGCGCCCTCATCGGAAAACCATGTTGCAACGTGTTGCGTTAATTTGCCTTGCTGCAGCAGCGCGCTTCCGCCGAGCCGAGCGCGAAACAAAAATCAATTCCTCTCTCCACCCACTCGCACGCCTCTGCATCCTCCTCCTCGTCCTCCTCCTGCTGCTGCTCCTCCTCCTCCTCCTCTTCCTCCTCCTCCTCCCCATCCTCTCTCCACCGTCGCCTTATTTATCCCCCTTGTTGCCATCGCAGCATTCATTCTGCTACTCCTCCCTCGCCCTCCCCGTCCTTGTGCTTCTCCTCTCTGACGCGCAACGGATGTGAGGGTGAGGGCGCGGCAGTTACTGCCACCAGTTGTTTCGCGCTGCTTCCAACGCAACACACGCCACGATAACATTGTGCCCGGCGGCCATCAAACGTAGCGCACCATTGCATTTGGGGTATTCTACAGTTTTTGCACACTGGACCGAGCCCAGCGCGCCGGCGCCCGCGGCGCTGCGCCTCGCGTCGGCCGGGCGCTCGGTCCTCGGCCCGCCGCGCGCGGGCGCCTCCTCGCCGTCGGCGGCCGGCGGCGCGCGGGCTCGGTGGGCCCGCGCCTTTTCGCCAGCGGGGCTGCTCGGCGCCACCGCCCCGCGGCCCGCCGCTCGTCGGCCTGCAGCCTCGCCGGCTGGTCGCGCGTCGACGCCTCGTCCGCGCGGTCGGCTTGGGCGCTCGTGCTGCAGCGCGTTCCGCTGTTGGGCCCGCGGCCTGCTGCTCGGCGGCCCGCAGCCTCTCCAGCTTGGTTTTGAAGGGCTGGCTCGGCGGGGCGGTCTGCAGGGTGGCGCGGCGGGCCCCCAGCGGCGCCTCCAGCGGCTCGAAGCTCTCGGCGGTCGGCGCTGAAAGCGCTCGCCTGGGCCTCCGCCGCGCCCTGCTCCATGGTCCTCGCGGGGTGCAGGGTGCAGCAGCGGCGGCCGCGCGCTCTGCCTCCGCCAGGCGCTCGGTTTCTGCCCGGGCCAGGGCCTCGTTCAGGCTCGCGTCGCTCAGTGCTGCTTCTGCCCGTCGCTTGGCTGCGGCCTCGCGCCCGAGCTCGTCGAGGTAGGCATCTGCGGCCCGCGCCGTCCCCTCGGCCTCCTTGGCCTTGTGCTCGGCCTCCGCCTCCGTGGGCCGCAACGCCTCCGCCAAGGCGGCTCCCAGGCGGGTCGGGGCGCAGCCTCGGTGGCCAGCGAGCGCCGCGAAGGCCGCCAGCAGCTGTTCAGCAGCACGCCCCTCGGCGCGGAGCTGCTGCGCGCGGCGCGCCGCGGCAGGTCGGTTCGGCCTGCGCCGCCGGGGCGGCGGGGGGGGAAGGGGGAAGGGGGCGGCGGCGCCGGCGGCGCCCGTGGCGCTGGTTGGCCTTTTGCGCCGTGCTCGTGCCAGCTGGCGCTGGAGGAGGAGGAGGAGGAGGAGGAGGAGGAGGAGGAGGAGGAGGAGGAGGAGGAGGAGGAGGAGTAACAGGAGCACGAGCACGAGCACGAGCACGAACAGGAGCAGGAGGAGCAGGAGTAGGAGCAGGAGGGGGACGTGGATGAGAAAGAGGGAGAGGAGGGGGAGGAGGAGGAGGAGGAGGAGGAGGAGGATGAGGAGGAGGAGGAGGAGGAGGAGGAGGAGGAGAAGGAAGAGGAGCAGGAGCAGGAGCAGCAGCAGCAGGAGGGGGACGGGGATAAGGAGGAGGAGGAGGAGGAGGGGGAGGAGGAGGAGGAGGAGGAGGAGGAGGAGATCGGAAAGGAGGAGGAGGCACGAGCGAGGATCAACGATGATGAGGAGGATTTGCGCCTGCCCTCTGGAAGGCAGACCGCGCAGACCGCTTTGCCGTGCGCAGGCCCCGTTCCACATCCGCAAGTACGATAGTTTCGGTGCGCGGGGCAGCAGGGGTCTAGGATCGACCATCGATGGCCCAGCCATGAGAGGGCTCGCACGTGTCGAGACGAAGTGTTGTTTTCATGTATGTTAATTGTTTGTTGTAATTGTTCGCCGGGGGTGAGGGGGGCGACGTTCTGGCTCTGGGACTGTCAAACGACGACTCGATATGACATTCCGACCCCGTGGATGGTGTCAAGAGGTCATTCGAGCCTTGAATTCGCGCCTCGAAACACTGGAGCCCCCAGATGTCTGGGGATCGAGGCTGCCGCTTTGAGAACGACAGGGGGGTTTAGTTCACATCTAGATAGAACCAGCACATTAGAATAACGAGAGAGAGAGAGAGAGAGAGCGGTAGATCTATGAGGGAGCAGAGAGTAGGTAGTAGAGAACATAATGCAGGGCGAGTTGAGGAGTCTTATCTCTTGAGCATAATGGAACTGTATATATATATATACACATGTGTGTATTTCGATATGCAGAGGTAGAGTAGAAAGTGTGCTCGATAAGGCAGGGGACAGGGCGAGTTCAGGTCGGTGGCCCCAGTCAGCGGGATCAGGCTCAGAGGGGGGGCCTCGACCGCCAGTCGCCAATTGATCCCCTGCCCGATGGCCCACACTGCCCCGGAGCGTGCGGAGTGGTCGTCCGGGGGCCTAGCGCCGATCTATCGAGGACGTATCGCCGACTCAGGCTCGATGTTGTTCCCCGCTGAACTGGTCCGGACCCCCCACTAATCATGCCCCTCATGATTCTTCCAGCAGCGGAGTCGAGGACTGAGGAGGGACCAGGACTTGGACATCCACGTCTTGGTCAAATCAGGGCAGCATTTGTTCAAGCGTTTCGGGTTGCGTGGTCGGCACAAAGCTGCTCGGGGTGAGCTACCAACCTTGGGAAGGGACGCAGCACTAAATAAACCGAGATGCTGGATGTTTGCAAACGACGAGGGAGCAGGCGGAGGAGGAGAAGATCCCACGGCTCTTTGCACACACGCAACACAAGCCATTGTCAAACCCAGGTCTGGCATGTTCAATCTGGCCGAGTCTCGCAGGGCGGGAAGGGCGCTGAGGTGGAAGAGGAGCAGCAGCAAGAGGAAGAGGAGGACGAGAAGGATGAGGAGGAGGAGAAGGAGGTCGGTGAAGAAGGAGCGGGGGGTGTGGGAGTAAGCGGCTGGAGAGCTCTCTGGGCTCAGACGCACCAGCGCTGCAGCCACCTCCCAAGTCGTAGCTATCACGTCGCAGTGCTCCCCAGCCCGCCTCCGCACCTGGGGCCACACCCCCCAGCAGTCTGGAAGAGGCGTGCGAGACGCCCCGCCAGCGCCCGGAAACCACCCGAGCTCGGGGGCCTGGATGCAGAGAGCTCGGAGGGGCCCGAGGACACTCCGCTCGGTGCCCCGCGCCACGGTGCCTGCGGTCCCGCCACCACTCCAGCGCATCATCCCGGACGCTCCCACGCCAGCCCCAAGTTCTAGGCCTCCTAGATGGGGTCGGAGTAGATGGGGTCGGAGTAGATGGGGTCGGATGATCGCGCCGCACCGCCGATGCATCGCCGATGCAGCTCGATGTGGAGCCCGATTTCCTTCACGTCGCCGTCGCTGATGCATCGCCCACGTCGACGCCTCATCGCCGCTGCATCGCTGATGCATCGCCGATGCATCGCCGATGCATCGCCGATGTATCGGCGGTGCGGCTCGGTCCTTCGACCCCATCTGCTCCGACCCCATCTGGGAGCCCTCTGCAAGTGGGCCGTGCCGTGCCACAAGCTCGCTTCCTCGAAGGAAGGGAGGGAGGTACGAAGGGAAGAGGAGGGGAAGTTGTTGCGATGGCTATTGTCAGGCGATCTCAAACATGCATCAAGGAGGCGTGGATTAGCGACGGGCCCCGTTTCCATTCGAAATCGCGAATTTCCGCCGCCGAGCGAGGCGGCACCGACCGCATCTCGGGGAGGGCACATACCCCGATCCATGGATTCGGCGACCGCGCGCCAAATCCAGGGATCGCCAATCCATGTTTGCGCGCCCCCGATATTGGGGCGCTATTGTGCCGTTGTTGGTAGACTCCGAGGCCTCCTGGGGCCCTCTGGAAGCGTCTCGGGGAACTTCCGGGAAACAATGGGAGCGTCTCAGTGTCCCCCTCGGCAGGGCTGTGGGAGCGTCTTGGAGAGTCTGGTGGTCCTCCTGTGGGCGTCTGAGGGGTCTGTGGCGACTCTTTGGGCCGGCTTTGGACACTTTGGTGAGTAGCCACGTCGGGGCATAACGAGATCCGCCGCGTCCCCCTTGCCCCGTTTGCAAAAAGCCGGCAACCTCGCTCGGATATGCCATCCGCGTGCCCTGCAAGACATAGTTCAGGTAGACATCTATATCTCTCTCTATATATATAAATGTCTGTCCGTCCGTCGATCGACATATATGTATACGTGTGTGTATCTATATACATCCATCTGCCTCTATATCTGAATATACGCATATATATGTATATGTATGTGCTATGTGTGTGTGTGTTTGTGTGTGCGCGCCGCGCATTCCTAAACGCAAAATCACAATCGACGATATGGTACCACTGCCACGTTCTTACTGTATCTGTGTGTATAGGAATGGGTGGATAGCTAGGTATGTACACTTGCGTTGGTTTCCGACATGCTTGACTCGTCTGGCGTGCTTATCAGAGTTTGTTTGTCGGGTCTTCACCATTGTAGTCATTCGGCCTGCTTCGCTCGCTTTTCCACCTTACACTGTCTTGGGTTACCTTGGCTTCTTGTCTATTCGAGTTGCGTGTTAGCTACAAGGTAGAGTTGAGTAGACGATTTGGCTATCTCCGTATCGGTCTGGATGGAATTCATAGCATATCCGTATTCTCCTATCTCCATATTGTTTCTCGATTGGATTTGAACATGGCAGAGCACATACGAGTAGGGCTGAGCAGGATGGGGCACAGTGGTGCAGAGAAGGACGGGAACACTGTGGGCGTAGCATAAGTACCCTGCACATGTGTCAAGATGAGAGCTGCGTGCTGATTGTTCTCATAGCTTGTCACAAGTATGGATGGTCATGCTTCTCCGTGTGTCGTCGTGTGTATTCAAAGGCTGTTCCCCCGTCTTTCTAAAGGCGTCGTTGCTTTCCCTCTGTCGTCCTGTGTCCTCGTGTGCTCCGCCCTGCAGCATCTGCTCGTCTCTCCCCTGCCCCTCTCGCGCGTCGAGGGTCGATGACCGATGCCACTGGACGTTCCCGAGTTCCCCCTCGGCCTCCCGAGGAGGAGGAGGAGGAGGAGGAGGAGGAGGAGGAGGAGGGGGAGGAGGAGGAGGAGCAGGAGGAGGAGAGGAGGGAGGAGAGGGAGCAGGAGGATGATGAGGAGGAGGAGGAGGAGGAGGAGGAGGAGGAGAGGAGAGAGGAGGGGAGGAGAGGAGGAGGAGGAGGAGGAGGAGGAGGAGGAGGAGGAGGAGGAGAGGAGGAGGAGGAGGAGGAGGAGGGGGAGGAGGGGAGGAGGAGGAGGAGGAGGAGGAGGAGCGGCGAAGACCGCGGCCGGATGTTTGGAGTCCTCCTCCTCCTCCTCCTCCTCCTCCTCCTCCTCCTCCTCGGCTCCCCCCCCCGCCAGCCATTGGGAGAGGCTGGCCGCTCTGGTCCACGCTGCTGCCCTGCTCGTCGCAGTTCCTCTTCTTCCTTCCCGCGGCGGCCCTCCTCAACGGGGCCGTGGCGCTCCCCCGCCCGGCCGGGCCGCGTCTCGAGGGGCTCAAGCTACGGGGGTCAATGCAAAGGGGGGTCAATAATAATAATAATAATAATATTCATAATGCTCGTATTAATACTCACAATACTAGTGATATTATAACTAATGGTAATACTAATAATAAGAATAATAGTAGTAGTAATACTAATAAGACATATCCGAAGAACAATAATAATACTATTAATAATAATAATCATATTAATAATACTAATAGTAATATTAATACTAATAATAATGATAATAATAATAATGAGAATAATGGTAATGATACTGATAATAAAGATGATCAGAAGGGCACAGGATCCTGCAGGATCCTGCGAAGACCCCCTCTGGCTGACCCGGGTTAGCGAGCCGCTTGTGGCCGCGAGGCGGCCGCGCATGTTGGCTGACCCGGGGTTGCGAAGGCCTGCGCTGCAGTTTTTTGTTCCTGCATTGCAGTTGTTTTTTTCCTGTGATCCTGATTTGGATTGACCCGGGTCAGAACATCCCCGAAGATCGAGGGCCCAGGCCTCGCACGGGTCGAGCCTCCAGGTGTTTGGGAGGATCAGGGGCTCGCTTCTGGGCACCGGTGCGGGCAGGATCTGCATCCATATATCCAGTGCGTCTTGGCTTCCGTCGGAATGGGGCGCCACCCACAAGGCCGAGGCGCACTGGATATGGATGAGCAGCGATCCTCTGGGAGGCAGATTTTTATCCATGTCCAGTGCACCTCGGATTTCTGGTGAAGGGAGCCCGGATCTCCAGGCTGCAGAGGATCTGGGCAAACACAGTTCCCGCAACCGGGGCGTCCAAGTCGGCGGGGTGGGCCAGGGGCTGGCGGTGCTTCGAGTGTAGGGCTTCCTTGCCTGTTGGTGGTCTTGTCGCCTCGGCCGATGCCCTTCCAGCAGCGGCGCCTCGTCGAGAGCTCTTCCCAGGGGTGCCAACAGAGCGTCCCGAGCGGCCGCCGGAAGCCCAAGCTATGACGCGGACAGCACCTGGCGTTGTGATGTTCCTGCCTACTTGAGCCTGGATCACCAGCAAGAATTTCGAGCACCAGAAAAGAGCCGAAACTCTATGGTTTTCACGTGTCGGGCCCTGGGAGACCCTCGCTCGACATTGTTTCGATACTTTTTTGGCACTTTTCCGGGTGCTCGAAAACGGCCCCCTCTTCCTCTCTCGAGGTTCTCCTTCTCGGAGGTCGATGGACTTCCTATACCCCGGACACGTCGATTCGCGCATTGGCCGTTGTCGATTCGCCGAGAGGGCGCCGCGGCCGTCATTTTACTTGCGGGTCTGGGTGCGTCGGCTGCTTCCCAGGGCCACTTTCACCAAAGGGTGGTCTATGAACGGGGAGGTTCAGGGGGGAAAAAAACACAAACACAGACACTATTCATCGTCGATTCCCGAGAAAATATGGGAAAATATGGGAAGTGGGGGGGGGGGGAGACAAAACGCCAGAAAATATGAGAAAATAGATGGGGAATCTGCTTATCTGTGTCTATCTGTTTGTGTGTCCCAGGGGCCCCTTCCGAGGTCTGCCCACCGCCGATCCCCAGCCGCAACGCCCGCTCCCCCCGCGCCGTCGGCCTGCACGCCTGCCTCGGGTGTAAAGTCGGGCCCGTCCCTCCACAGGGGGCGTACAGTCGGGGCCCTGAAGAAGGAACCCTTTTCGTTGGGGAGGGGCTCCGCGTTCCTTAAGTGTTTCGCAGCTTGCCTCAGGCTTTCCTGATGTTTTCGATCGGAAGTCGAAGCTCAACTTATGGAAACAAAGGGGCCTCGTTCCTTATTTTGGGTTCCTTAGGTCAAGGCCCCGACTGTAGTCAAAAACAGTCAGAAGACAGTGCGGGGACGACGTTTGGACCATGTTTGGGCATCTGGGGGGCATTTTGTGCTTGCCTAGCTTGTCTCTTTCGCCCAACAGCCCCCTGTAGGGGGACACGCCCGCCTTCAGCCTCGGGCCGTGGTGCGCGGCTGAAGTCGGGCCTGTCCCTCCACAGGGGGAGCAGTCAAGAACAGTCAGAAGACAGTGCGGGGACGACGTTTTGACCATGTTTGGGCATTTGGGGGGCATTCTGTGCTTGAGTAGTCTTTCTCTTTCGCCCAAAATCCCTCCGTAGGGGGACACGCCCGCCTTCAGCCTCGGGCCGTGGTGCGCGGACTGCTCCGGGCCCCCAGATTGTTTCCCGGGCGCCGGAGAGCAGGTGGCGGCGGCGGGGCACGCCGCAGCGCCGCGTCGTCTGGTAGTGCGACGCGATGTTTTTCGGGGGCGGCCAAGAGGGGTGATGGCTAGGGCCGGGGGTGATGACCAGGGGGGGTGGATATCATGGCGTAGACCATGATCTCTCCTCAGGCTTCATTGCTTGATTACTGTTATACGTAGGCCATGTTTCATTATTCATTGTTTCATTCCTCAGGATTCATTATTCCATGATCATGGCGTGGGCCACGAGGCGCCTCTTCGTATTTCATCTCGTCCCTGCCCCCCCCCCTGGGCCGCGCACGCGTCGCTGGCCATGATCTGTGCCCCCCCCGCTTGGACGCCTCCCTCTTGGCCGCCCCCGAGATGTGGAGTCGCCTTTCTCCGCGCCGACGTCGCCCATGCATCTGCGATGCATCGCCGAGGCATCGCCGATACGCCGCCGCTCCTCCGACCCGATCCTACTCCGACCCCACCTGGGAGGCCTCCAGCTGCTGAGCCCCCCCCCCTGGGCCCCCTTCCCCGCCGCGGCACCCCGGCGCCCGAGGGCCTCCCCGCGTGGACCCCGGGGGCCCGCGCGTCGAGCAGAGGTCGAGCCGCGGGGGCTCCCTGCGGGCGGGGCGAGGGCGCGAGCTGAATCGGAGGTGGACAGACCTCCTACCCTGGCACGTCGATGAAGGAATTGGCCGTTGTCGGTTCGCGAGAGGGCGTCGCGGCAATCATTTTTGCGGGTCCAGGTCCGTCGGTTTCGGTCCCAGGTCGTTTTCAATAAGGGGAGGTTTGCTAAAGGGAGGTTTGTCCACCGCCGGAAGAAGGTTGTGGTGCCGGAGACATTTTCCAGAGCCGCCAGATCTCAGGGATTCTTTTTTTGCCCACCCCCGATTGTATTCTCGCCCTGGCTTCGTCTTGACGCCCAGGAGGGTCGAGGACCCGTGTTGGACGGTTCTGTCTTTTGGATGGGTCATCAGGAGGCGGACGTGGGAATGTGTAACTTGGAGACTGGAAGATGAGGAGATGTTCTCCAACTTGCGATGCAGTACTATTGGGCTCTCAAGGAAATTACTCGTCCTGCCCCGGCTGTATTTGCTCAGAATTGCATGTCCTGATTGGCACCACGTGTAAGATGAAACACGTCGCTAGGGAACCGTCTCAAAGTTGCGCAGTTACTCGCCCTTCCCCCCCACCCCCCCACATTTTTTTAGTCGAGCGCATACTATTGCGATCGCAGCGCCACCCTGCCCCGATGTGCCCCACACCGCCCACGCATTTACGGTAACCCCGGGGAAATACCGACATTTGAAAGCATTATATATCTTGTTTGAACGCATCACCGCCTTCATCATCAGCAGCATCAGCATCAGCATACTCATCATCGTCACCATCATCATCATGAGCATCGCCCTCATCATCACCATCATCATCAGCATCATCATCAACATCGTCGTTCGCGTCGTCTTTGTCGCCGCCAGCATCAACCAACATCAGCATCATCGCCATCATCAGCAATCATATTAGCATGAACGCCGTCGTCGTCGTCATCATAAGCACCGTCATCGCCAGCGTCATCATGATTAGCAGCATGCACATAACATTAAAACCCATCATCATCATCACCATCATTGTCAACATCATCACCAACATCATCATCATCGTCGTCGTCATCGCCATCATAATCATCAGCATGATCATCATCATCACCAGCATCAGCATCAGTAGCATCAACATCATACTTATGATACTACTCATCACCATCCGCATCAACAACAGCAACAGTAGCATTTGCATCATTGTACGCATCAGCATCACCATCTTCTTCATCCGCACCACCATCATCATCACTGCCCAGCTCACTGGTGTTCTCCTCACCTGTTCACGTGGGTTTTTCCCCCGCCCTCTTCCCTCATTCCCTCCGGGCGCGCCCTCGTGGCCGTCTTTCTGGGATCTACACAGCCCCATTCTCACAACCAGATGCAGGCTCGGACCCAGGCCATATTCAGACCGAGGCCCACGATCCGATCCAGGCGCAGACTCGATCTCGAACTAATCATGTTCGTGTTCACACGTCCTTGTCGCTATACCTCCTCCCCGTGCTGTTTCTTCTCCCCCCGCTGCCCGCTCTGCTCTTCTCGTCTCACAGCTCGCCCTTCTCATCCTTCACGTCGCTTGGCGTCCCCAGGACGTGTGCAACTTCCTCGGCGAGGCAAGCGCCGGAGCATTCGGACCATCTTGGGGCACGAACGCAGCCACGCACGAAACCGAACAATGCATGGGGAAAGGACGTCGGAGCCATGACACTACTCTCGTCCTTCTCCCCGGTGCTGTCCGGTGGTGGCGCCGCCTCTTCCGCGCACGGTTCCCCCCTACACCGGAAGTCAATGCGACGTTTTGTGTTGTGGGTGTTGTTCGGTCAGCTGGCGGTCTGCTGTTCGAACGGTCCGATCGCGTTGCAACGTTGGCCGCGCTGCATGACCAGCAATTTGCCCCCGTCGCTCCTGGTGGCGATCTCGCTCCACCGCGGGTCATGCCTCTGGATCCGAGTCCTTCCCCTTCGTCGTTGCCGCCCCCCTGCGTGCGTTGCCCTTGTCCTCCTGCTCTTCTTTCTCCTCCTGCTGGCGTTCTTCCTGCATCTGCTCCAGCTCCACTTGCAATGCGTTTTCCTCCTGCCTCTCCTTCATCGTCCTTCTGCACGCACCCTGGTGCGCCCATCTGATACTCCTGATACTCCTGCTCATCTTCCTGTTGATCCTCCACCACCACCCGTTCCTCCAATGTTCCAAGCCCCCTTTTCCTCCGTACGTTTGCGCATCAGACATGGATTTTTCAAGGGTCGCGGTCCTACACACGAGGATCTTTCGAGGATCGCGGTCCTCCAGCATTCTAGGACGCACCTGTCGGCGGGGTCGCACGCAGTCCGCCCAATGGACAGGGATCGGCGGGAGGGGTAGGATGTCACTGTCAGACGTGTCCGAGCTCACCTTGCTCGCCCTTTTCTCTCTCTCTCTCTCTCTTGCCTTCCCCATTCCCCGTCCCCCCACACTCCTCCCTCCTACTCCTTAGTCCTTCTCCTTTCCCCCTCGCCCCGTTGCCCCTCGCCCGCCCTTGGGCGGGAGGCAGGGATGCGGGGTATCTATCCGCGAGTGCTGGCCTGAGGCGGCGTGGTGCCGCTTGTTGAAGCGGCGTCCAGCCGCGGGGGGCGCCCTTCTCTTCCTCTTCCTTGCCCGTGCGTCTTCCCGGCATGTGGCCACTTCACACGACTCCAACTGGACGATGAGGCTGCCAGCACCGCGTGGCTCCCTTCGCGGTCCTCGTCCGCGACCGTTGTATCCTCCGTTTCCGGCCGAGCTGGTGCGCCCCGTGCGGGCAGGGCTTTGTCTGCGGCCCTGCCCTCGCCAGGATCGTGACCCCACGGGGAGCTCCGTGGACGGCCCCAGCGGCGCATGCAGGCCCTTTTCGGCACACCACCGCCGATTGCCCCAGATGGAAAGTCCGCCTAACGTACGCGCGCGGGGTGGGGGTGGAGAGAGGAGGAGGGAGGAGGAAGGAGGTAGGAGGAGACAGGGGGCGAGGTGGCGTGGGATGTGGAGGAGGGACGAATGGGGGAAGGAGCAGGGAGGAGAAGGAT